CCCCCCTGCCGCAGCGCAGACACCCACTGCAGCCGGCTCCTGCGGTACGACACAACATTGCTTCAATAACAAACAAATAATCATTAAGCTCGGCCCTATGCAAGAATATTATTTCATATTATAAGTTGGCAATCGAGGAAGCGGCCACCTGAATCCGCCGAAATAGCGAAGCGACCGCAGCCCATAGACATCTGCGATTGCAGATGCATTGTCTACCCTTAATGAATGGAGGAGGAGACGCACATATATTTCCCCTTCCTTTGTGTATCCTCCACCGTCAAAGCCACTAAATAAAAGGATCCTATTAATAAAAGGATAGAAATAAAATGGGACTAAAATCAGGCCGCCATCACGCTCATCAGATGAAACGCGGAATTGCTTCCACTTGACGCATCTCTTCTGTGTGGTCGTGGTATTACACCGGACGAGCTGGCCCAACAGTGCGAAGATATTAAAGCGGGCTCTAAAACATCGAGCCACTAAAACTTACTTTCTTAATAGATTAAGACTATTGAAATGCGAACGTTGGGCCTTTGTAAGTCCTGGTAATCACGTACTTATGATCCTGAGTGGCGAACTCGAACGTCCTCTCCGGGGTGACGAGCTGGAACCGCTGCAGTTTGCCGTCGCCGGCGCTGGGCGCGGCCTCCACGGAGCAGTACTCGTCGATGGCGACGCGGCCGCACTGCTCGCGCTGCGCCGAGCTCTTGTAGTAGGTGAGCGCGCACGGCTGCAGCACGCACCAGTACTCCCGCATCGTCGGCAGCAGGTACCCCCGTTTGTACAGGTAACCCTGACAGAAGAAGAAATTAACAATAAGATGGCAATAACAGAAGGTGAATTCCAAGAATCTACCAAATTCAGAGAAGTCAATTATATAACACTAGCTTTCGCCGAAAAAACAAAAGTTATAATAGCCTATGTGTTCTTCTAGACTACCCTCTACATCTATATCACATTTCATCGTTTAGTATACAAACTCTAACAAACTTCCATTCATCTAAACTTTCACATTTACTATTTTAGTATGATTATCCGCTTTAGAAATAAGGTTTTTTGACCACAATCCGCACGATCTGAGAGATCCAGCCGGAGTTAATAAGCTCAATTATTATAGTTTTTTTAAGGAAGAGATCTTTGTTTTAATCTCTAAATCACCTTCTTTATAATATCCTCGATGAAAACATCGTATATCTCGTCGACGGCCTCCACAAGGGCCTCAGCGTGCTGATGGTCGCAGCAGTACTTGGCCTCGAGCACAGCGAGGAAGGCCGCCCACTTGAAGTGGCCGATGGAGCTGCCCAGAGCCTCCCAGTCCGCCGCATCCCACCTTAGCCCCAGGCACAGTACTAGCTGCTCCGCCACTATGCCCGCTTCCGATGGCTGCAGAACCACCTGCAAATATTTAAAACAAAGGAACTCATTATTTTAATTTAATGTAGCAGTTGTTTGTTTATTATTTGAGGAGCTTTTATGATACCAACTTTACGGAAATTTACTACCTTAACCACTACCTTAAAAAGATAAACATAAACATACCAATAACATGGGCTAGGCAAATTGTAATTTAACCACATTCTCAATCTACCGGCGACAAAATTATTGCATAAACATATACATCTCTCTACAACTATAAATTATGTTTGAAAACAATTCTACACGTGCTAAGATGACTATGAATTTACTGTTTGCAATAAAAGTAACGAGTGCGTGGTCTAATTAAGTTAGTTTATAGTGTCAATGACCTGTACAATCAGTCCTTGTTCCTTACTATTGGTTCACATCTGCAAGCATCATGCGCGATAAATGTTTGGCGTGAAAACATCATTAATTCTTTCATATGTATTTTTTTTATTAACTGTAGTTATTGCACAATGACATAGCTTTAAAAACAATATCTGTGTAATATTTAAATCTTTGGTAGGTTAATGTTTGTTTAAATTAGTCCAGACTCTGTAATTTCAATTGAAAAATACGATTTTATTTTGTGATATTATTATTGTTTTTTGTATTCTATATTTCTTAAGCTTATTTGATATAGTCGGGAGAAAATACTTTCTGTACATTGTGCGTAGAGAAAGTTTCCGTATGAATCATATAGCTTGTTACAGCTTAATGTATGACGCATCGGGACAGCTGACACTTAATGGAACATGACTTGATTTAAAAGCTAGCTATGTTTATTTCATTTCTTTAAAATTTTGGCATTTGCAGATTCACCGGGCTTGAGGTGGCCGAGCGCAGATGGCGCTTAGCCTAAACCTCGTTTATGAGTAACTAAGCTCGAAGGCTCCCCCAGGGGCCACGGCACGAGCCGTTACTTCGTTATTAATACCGGATTGATAGGCCACCGAGCTCTTAGATCGCTTCGGTGGATGCTCCATGGAGTTACCAGGCATAAGGGCCCCCGAGAGTCACTCAATACGCGTTAATACTTATTTAATTTTTTATCGCCTTTCAATTATAATTAATGTTTGCAAAGAATTTTTAACAAAGTGTGCCTTGGTTTAGATATTACATCATTTAAATCAATACCAAAATCACTTAACAAATCTAGGTGTGTCAAAGATTAGGTACTCGCGTCAGAAAAAAAACAAAAGCTTACATAATCTCTGACAGATCGAAGTGTCTCTTGTCAAATTTTCATTCGGATAAAACTGGGAGTGACTACAATAAACATTAATAAAAATGACAATCAAATATCGATGTTAAAAATTTGAATTGACACGTGTCATGTCAGTTATTTGCATGATAATCTGACTATGATTATAAATGCAAAAGTTTAGATGAATGGATGTTTGTTAGAGTATGTAGTATAACGGGTGAATGGATCTCGATGAAATTTGGCTTAGACGTAGAGAACACATAGGCTACTCACTTTTTTTTAATTCTACGCGGACGAAGTCACGGCGACTATTAATCGTTCTTACCACATAGCGGCTTGATTCTTCAGAGTCTTGGACAAGGTCAGCAAGCAGGCAGAAGATTCTGAAGAGTTTGAACACGGAGTCATCGCCAAAGACGGGCTTGTCGCGGCTCAAAAGGCTCTTACGGCAGACAAACCAACACACCTGATACAAGATGAGAAACGTTAAATATGTTAGGTGTTAAGTCTAGTTTAGTTTGTCTGAATAAGGATGATTAGTCTGACAATTTAGTAGGTATGGGGTGCGGAGGTATAAATATTTTCTATCTATACTATTACAATAAAGCGTAAACACACTTCTTTGTTGCCTAAGATGTCAGCAATTACAGCATATTTTTGAATTACCCTTTTTTTAATAAAAAGTCCTACACTTATGTCACGTTTTAGGATATATATTTCACGACTTCACGACAATAAACTTAGGTGGTAAATAATATGGATAAAAACCCTAATATGGGAAAGAGACCATAAGTTGCTGCCAACATCAAGAAAGAAAGAACGCCAAGGTTTGTCAAGTCATGTCATTTTGACGTTTGCTATAGATAATTTGAGAAATGTAAACAATAAATTTTCATAATTTCATGCGGATCAAGCCCCACGGGATCAGCTAGTATAAAATACTGGATTTTTGTCATATTTTGTATTAATTTTTTTAATGTTTCCTAACCGTAAATGAACAATACAATATCCTTAAGCATATTTACATACAACACAGAATAATTTCCGGTTTCGTGTTTCATTAGAACAATCAGTATCTAATTACGTACGCGATGGCATAGCGTTAAAGACAATAGTTTTCTTGTGCGTCACAGCAATGTATGGGCCCGTTGTATTCATTACCCATTTACGATTATGGTTGAATGACGATTGATAAACTTCTTAATTAATTGAAATTAAGAAGTAATTAAGACTATATAAGAACCGTGTTATAATATTCTCTCATTAAATAACTGTGCAACTAAATAAGTATCGAACATGTATGGTACAGTTGCTTAAATCTGCGGTGTTCCCTTTCAGGAATAACTGCCTTGTTCATTGCAACGAGACTTCTCTTGCTACAAATAACTAATTAGATTGCTATCTATTATATATATATATGATTGGTGCAAACAAAGGGATTATAATAAAAAGAGACTAGCCCTGTATCCATAACCGACTTTTTCGTACAGATACATTTATAAGATGCGATGTTTTGATTTTTGTTCTTTGTCTCTGGTAAAACACCGCCAGATTTCCCGACTGTACTTACTGTTACTATCAATTTAATGCATGCGTTTTATCTACCATGTTTTATTCCTTTACAAGAGTTATCGAGAAGGAAAAGGAAAGGCAAAAAGCACATTAGTTACACCAGTAAACATTTCCGGATAATATCTTTCTGTTAGGTAAGTCTAGTAAAGAAGTCCAATCAACGCCATCTAGTGGTTTCGTGAGTTCTGACATGGGACGTGTTAAACAGGAGTAATTCTTACTTCACTTATTTTCTTCTCGTATTCCCTAACAACCGGCAGTGTGACGGTCTTCGGCAGCGAGCTGAACACCTCATGCTGCAGGTAGTAGCGGAACTCGTCGAATGTCAGCTCCTGAGAGGACCTGAAGTGGTCCAAACCCTTCTCTACACCGTACAAGTCTAGTAATGTACCGATGTTCGCTGTTAACACCTGGGAAAATAATAATGACGTATTACATGTGTGAATCTCCATTGACTTTTCTTATTAAAATACCAGTTTTCGCAAAAAAAAACTATTATAAAACATAGGCTATGTTGGCAAAAAAAATATACCTGTCTAACGGTGAAAGAATTATTAAAATCGGCCAAGTAGTTTTTGAGTTATTCCAATATATACAAAAATACAAATCTTTCCTCTTATCATGTTAGTAAGTACGGAAGTACTGTTTTCAATTAAAAAAATACATTAAAACATCTCTCTATTTCCATTTGAAATTCCCTTAAACAAAGACATACATATCTAAAAATACTTTTGGTGCCGCTTGGTGAAGATGACAATAAGTCATTTAAAAAAAAAACAAAAGCGATAACTCTCGTTGTCATCAACTCGGTATTTTCGTTTTGTCTTTTACGTGTTATGTCAACCATTATCGTTAGAATTAATGAGTAAGGAGCTAAAAGGTTTGCCGTCACCTTGTGCTTACATTACGTGACTTCAGCACTCGGGAATGCTGATAAGCAGAGTTATTGTTATATGCGTTAGTTGAACAAGTGTAAATCTCGTAGTACTTTTAACATGTTTTGTGAGTTCTTTTAAAATGTAATTCCTTTTTTAAAGTACAACTCTGCAGTCAAAGAATTAAATTCGGCACCCACTTCGGATGTTATGTCTTACAGCTGTCAAGCGCTATAATTTAGCATGTATGGAAAATTCGTAAAGATTTCTCTAATGGCATTATGATCGTCAACATACGAGGGTGAATCAAAAAGTTCTTAGAAGTGCATATATATGAAACCTTTTTGGATCAAGTTCGATAGTCAAATTAAAGAGTGTCTATCACACTATATTTATGCACACTGTCACTTGTTTTTGTCAGTTCGTTCGCATGTAATAAATTTTTGATTCACCCTCGTATATTTAAAGTAGCAGATTCTATGTCTATACATATAAAAAGATGATGTACTTATGTGTGTTGCTGATAACGAAAATGGAATTTAATTCTTTCCGCAAGCCGCGTTTGTTACGGGTAATCTCCGAAACGGCTGGGCCGACCTTCGACCGGACTTTCACTGAAGGGAAGCTGACATAGACGGGCATATATGCTCCTTTTTTTATCTTAATATTGCGTGGATGAAGTTGCGGGCAACAGCTAGAAAATAAACGTCCTCTATACTATACGTAGCTTCTAAGCACAAGTTTACTGGGCTAGTGATAAAGCTTTCTATTAAACAGAATCATATAGATATTGATTACGACATATGCACGGTATCAATGTATTTGTGCGACGACGCCGAGACGACGTCGTAGTGCGACGCCAGATGAGTCATCGCTTCAATGCAAGGATATCACGCAGACCACTGCTACACTGATAGCTAGGCGATTACTATGATATGAGTAACAAAAACGTTACGGGGAATGAATGTTTTTTTAGAAAATGTTTCTTTGTCATCTTGCATGTTAAATAACTTTACAAAATAAACTTCAAGTGAAGGACGATTTTTAACTTTTAAGTTCAATTACTTCACGTATTTCAATTACATTATCATATTCTTGAATACGGAATATAAGTAATAAGATAAGGCTTGAATAATCTAAACTAATTTAAGAGATTCAAAAAATAAGAAACTCAATTTTTACTAACCTTATTGTGTAAATGTAAAAGACGTAACTTTAAAATCAGTTCCTTGTATTTAGAGGAGGCGTACACCTTTGACTAAACTATCGGACAAGTGTTGTGCGATTGTCGATTTTTTCACAGCAAATTCAACTATTTAGTTGCACAACTAAAAATCGAGTAGTGTGCACACATATAAGCGCATAGCAATCCAAGCGAGAATAAACAGCTGTGCGATAGTTTAGTTTCAAAAAAATATATCTTTCATAGCTATTTGTGTGATAACAACTTAATCTTCGAGCGAGGCATACAAATCACATCGCACCCACTCCCACGTTGGTCTGGCGTCGCTGCGTCATGACTTGATCGCAACACAACAACCTGCGCATGTAATCAATGCGTACTTTATTGTCCCTTAATGTATGTTCAATCACTTATTACTCACTAAATCTCTATTAGGAAGGTCTCTATTGAGTTGTTCCTAGGCATCTTGGTAATAAATGGACACTTATGGCCGATTACTGTAACTACATTTAAATGTAACAGGTACTAAAATGGACTCGCTTGGACTCCAAATTTCCATAAAATTATGTCGATATAAACGGCGCTTACTAATATTTACAATTACTCAGCCGTTATTAGCTAAAAATATTATTGTTCCTTTAGTCTTATATTGTATGGGATTAGTATGAAATATCTACACTTATGGACTAAATGACAGTAATCAACATCTTTGGCTATAAGATCCTGTGTTTAGTATCTTGGTTGGCATTCATTTCTCTGATTATATGATGTATAGGTCAAACCTATAGTCTTGCTTTTTAAGTCATCTGCAGCAGGAAGCATTTTTTGCAACGATAAGCAAATCTGAATTTGTTTTTGAAAGTTGATACTCTAAAGGTTAATGTAAAACGATATTATATAGTTAGTTCACTAATCTGAGGTCAGGAGCGGTTTTAAATTGCTACTTCCTAAATAAGAAAGTATAATGAAAATTAATTTAACTACTTTAAAGATTAAAAAAATTGCATTTTTTGAATAAAAACAAACATAATTAAATTTAATAGTTTAGCGTGGCAAAAATGTACTTAACTACGTGATGTCAATCTTACTAATATTATAATTGCGAAAGTTAAGATGGATTTTTGTTAGAGTTTGTAGCTTAAACGGCTGAACGGATTTCAATGAAATTTGGTATAGATATAGATGATAGTTTGGAAGAATACATAGGCAACTCTCTTTTGTTATTATTTTAATTCCACACGGACGGAGTCGCGGGCGAAAACTAGTTTCAAATATTGGCGATTTTACTGACGTAAAAAATAGCGCACGTAGTCAAAAACATTAATTAAAAGTAATACGTCAATTATTTTTCTTAAATCTACGATTTAATATATTGTATGAAACGCTTATTTTTAACAGAAACAAGTAAAAATCACAAATGAACCTATAGTTAAAGTCCTCGTGGCCGTGTCCGATCGCCGGCTGAGGTCAGCCAGATTAAAGCTGACCTCACTGCGAACACATTACTTTTTACTGAATGCGCTTTTATTTAAGAACAGAGGAAGTTTTATATATTAAAGTTTGTTTTATATCTGCACAAAAATATTATTATAATCTCTGTAACTCCAGTGAGGGGTTTAATCACCTTTATTATTCATCTTTACAGACGGATTTTGTACCATCGTCTGTACAATTGTATTTTCTAAATTGCATCCTTTTGCATATAGATTCTAGATATTTAGATTAGAGAGGTGTGATCTGTGTTAAATAATAAATTATTTCCCTTTATAAATATAAAATGACCTATTTTTATTTATCTTACAAATAAAGACTATTTTCCTTCAACATTAGCTAAATAAATAACAAATTCAACATCTGAACAATAACATGCGACACGGTAATACTATAGAAGGTGAGTTTTTCTTCCAGGCAATTTACTTTGTCCCGTAATAAAGGTCAATCGGCCATAAAGGTCAATTTATGGACAGTTTTTATTTGTACGATTATTCCCTATCCTTATAAACTGACGATCAATTGATTCGTATAGCAAAATTACACTTTACCGAGTTGACTAGCTGCATTCGTCCTATGGTATTCATATGGTAATATGACTTGAAGAAATAAGGTATAGAAGTGAGTTTATATTACCTTTAAAGAAATTATATCACTATAGAACCCTCGTAGACTTTTTATCAACCGACATTTTAATCGGCCGCTAATGAATGTATGGCGTACGTTACAATTATCTTGTTTCGATTGTTTCGATAGTTAGGTCGGATTCAACCTGATCAAACTACCGACCGACAAAAGTCTGTAGTCTGTATGCTCTTAGAGTTATGACAAGATCTTTCTAGAACAACGTTCAGTGTTATATAATTTCGTTAGAATAAAACATACTCATAAAACCCTAATGATATCCCGGGCTACACCGCTCGATACTGTCGGGGTCGCTCGGCAGTTGTCTTGTACGGTTATAGTCTATTTGCGCGGAAAATGTCGAATTTTATTAACGAGTTCCGAGAAAGTTGACGTCGTTTGACATTTTGCAAATGGAGTCAATGTTGCATTGAACATGTAACATCAATATTTTTTTCTCATCATATTCACTAACTATTTTTTTTCTTTCTGCTTTTAAAAATACATAGGCCACAAATATTTAGGAAGACATCATTTCCTTTTATTTTTTTGTGCTAAAATAACCATGACTTACCACAGTCAAAAATAACTGAAATAACTACTAGCTATTTAATACAAACAATATAAACTATACTAGCTTTTACCAGCGTGGAATTAAAAAAAAACTAAGTAGCCTATGTGTTCTTCCAGAATGTCTTCTACATCTATGCCAAATATCATCAAGATCCGTTCAGCAGTTTGAGCTACAAACTCTAACAAACATCCATCAATCTAAACATTCGCATTTATAACATTAGTAAATAGGTAAAGTGCTCACTTGCTTTATGATTGCTTTGATACCAACTTACTTCATCATCATGAACCGTTAAATGAAGAATAACAAAAAAAACCTTCATTACATTGAATAAGGAAATAAGGAAGATTATCCCGAGAACCGCAATGATCGCTTCAATGCGGTTCTTGTTAATCTCAGGAATATAAAGTGTCGTCATTAGCTGCGAGGATAAGTGACCTATACACTATACAAATTCTGATAGATTTTAGTTACGAACTATCTATTGTAGATTCAATTCCAAAGATTTAAGCGCCAATAGCCTAATGGTTTGGGGTACGGACTATCGACCTTGCGGTCGAAGGTTCGAATCCTACCATTCGACTATTGTCGTGTTGAACAATATCCTAGCACAAGCATAGAGCTTAGTTGGAATGGTTAAAGGAAATATTAGTAAATTAACAAAGATCTACTAATATTAAAAAAAAAATCCTGCCATCAATTGAGACCCTAGTTGATAATATTGACAAGAAATATTAGTAACTCTTAGTGCATGTCTCACCAAATAGTAAATTTGCTGATAACAATCCAACATGTAAAATTTGTGATGGAAATATCGGATTTTGTTCCCTTACCTGACAGTGACGTTTTTTTAAGCTATCTGAGCCACTATCAGTCAGTGGTGGGTCAGGCCCTACCTCTGAAATGCTATAAGAAACTGAAATACACATAAAAACTACTTTTTTAAATAGCATTTATTTAGTGTATTTCATGTCCAATTCGTTCTAATTTTGAAGCAATTAAATTGCCTGTAATACAAATTAACAATGAATTTAACAAATACAAGAATACAGAATTTCATCAAGTAGAAAGTAAGAAAGAGAGAGAGCGATAATACCTCAATTAGTGACATTTATGTGGTGAAAACAGCTACCAATATATTCAGTATATGTCAGTGGGTTGTAACATAAATTGCAATAAAATAGCACAAAATGAACGTTTAAGGCGAAGCTACATTCTGGCGCTGACGCCAAGAAGCTCGGTAAGGCAGTAGAACCATTGGTAAGGGTCAGTGAATAATGCTCATAGAATTTCTTGTGCGAGCTGCTTTGACCATTTTAAGAAGACCTCATATATCATATCACCAGTTTTAGAAATTAAAGTGCCAGTGATATTTTTGTGTGAGTGAGTGAACATATCATTTACTAGCTGTTGCTTGCGATATCGCCCGGGTGCAATTAAAATAATAATAAAAATATGTTTTTTGAGTTATTCCAATACATACAAAAATAAAAATACAAATATTGACTTTTTAACATTAGTATAGATAATTAAATTTTGGTTTAACTTTTATTGCCTTGCCAATGTCAGTTTAATCAAAGTTAGGTGACTGTGGTATTTGTCGTTTAGGTTGCAAATATTTTATTTGTTTTAAAAGGTTTTAGTTTCCACAACTCCACTATTTTTATTAGCTTTCGTCCGCGACATCATACTCGTGAAATTAAAAAAAAATAGTGAGTAGTCTATGTGTTTTTTCCCGATTAATATATTAGTTGATTATCAAAAATTCTAATGCAATAGCCGATGAGTCGTTTTCGTTTGCTAATTTTACTTCAGATTAGTTTTTGTATTGGTTATAATAGTGCAATGGTGGTTTTAACAAGTTCCATTTAAATCAATTAGGTTGCAATTACGAGTATAGAGTTTGATACAGGATGCGGGGCATGAATAAAATTATGTTTACAGCAGCTACGCTTTATTTAATTAGTTTTTTTTGTGACTGAGTTGTCACTGCTTGCCTTGAAGAGGCATTTACAGCCCCACCGGGCTTGAGGTGGCCGAACGCGGATGGCGCTTAGTCAAAACCTCGTTTATGAGGAACTAAGCTCGAGGGCTCCCTCAGGAGTCTAGGCTCGGGCCGTTACTTCGTTATTATTATCGGATTGGGTTTGATTAGTTGTTTCATTTACGATATGTGGTGAAATAACACTCGTGATAGATTTAATTGCTTAGTCTCAAGAATAAAACTGATATAAATCAATAGTTTAATTACTTAGTTGAACTACTCGTAAATGTATTTTAAATAATAATTGTGTATTTCAATTGGGACGTGATGCATTGTTTTATTTATTGTAAGAAAATCCTTTATTCCATTTTTTTCACAGTATTTAAATTATTATTTACTTGTACATTACATGAGCTATAGAAGCTAGACATAAAAACACAATTGTAGTTTGTAATTAACTAATGGTGTAAGTTTTCATATAGTCAACAAAACGTTTGTAATTTTACACGCCGTCTATTAACACGCTTGTGTTCATTTAATTATTTTATCCATGTTCTTTGTCGACGTTAAAGCAATTTATTTGCTCAAACATCAATCTTTAGGCTCATGTAGTAAATTGTTATCACATTTAAACATAACTGTATCACAAACTTCCTCTAAATATGCGATTATTGTTTAGTTAAGCTTGTGTAAATGTGGTTATGTTAATTTTTGTCTAATGGCTATTTATGATTCATTTGATATGAGAGGTTAAATATTACGCTTCTGTTTTAGAAACATTGTACTTTGTCGTAATTATGGCTTTTAAAAACGGAGATATCACTTAGTTTTATACTAAAGAACAAAGATTTGTATTTTTGTATAATATCGCCGAAAATAGCTGGAACAACTTTCATTAAACATAAAACCTTTCTTTCACAACTATAGGTATATTGCTGCGTCGGCACGCCTTAGTTATATAGCTCAGTGCCCTTTAATAGATCACCAAAGTAGTTTGGAAGGAAAGTCTATATTGACTTATTGTCACTTAAACTTTTATAATTTTAATATTTTAATGCTTGATTTGTTCAAAATATTGGTAATGTACTTTTAACAGAAAATTGTTTTATTTTGTGTGTTTTCATTTTTTTTTCACAAATCTCTACATTTTATTTGAAACATGGAAAATGTATAGGGTACGTAACGTGTGGCAAAAAAGTTGTGATTTCGATAACTTTTTTTTATATGATCTTACAAGACAGGTCTGAAGTGGTAGTTATTCCTAGTTTCGTCTTGTAGCGAGGTGAGTTGATTTAAATGTTTTCGTTTTCCTTGTTTATTTTCCTATTATATTGTTGTTTATTATTTATTTTAGTACAAATTCAATGTTATTGAAATAAAAACATGTTTTACTTACTAATAAATATAAGTCACGCAATTTTTATTGTAATTATTTAAGAACTAGCTGTTGCTCGCGACTTCGCCTGCGTGGAATTTAAAAATAATAGAAAATATAGCCTATGTTGCTCACAGATAAATTACCTTCCTAATGGTGAAAGATTTTTTTAAATCGGCGCAGTAGTTTTTGAGTTATCTTTCCTCTTTATAATATAGATATAGATTCTTAACTTTTAATACTTGCTATGTTTAATATCACCAATTTTAATAAGATCAAGAAAACTAAAACAATTCCAATAAATTACGGTAATATTAATACTTATTACTTACATATGTGAAAAAAATAAATAAACAAGCAAACCTTCAGTTTCGATTTATGGACGACCTCGTTATTCTGCAAGGAGTCGAAGGCATGCCAAATGCAGTTCGTAACATTCTTCAAAAGAGTCGACATTTTAGACACTACCCACAATCACATTAATTGATATCCTTTTTAATCTGTGCACCATAGAACATTTTGTTTTTTTAATGGGGACAAGGCACACGTCGAGCGGCCGCGCGTTCGAAGTTCACACTGGCAGCTTACGATTGTGATATCAGACGAAAGGAAATGGTAACGCAACGCCACATTATGCTAGTCGACATTATTAAAAGAAAAAAAAAATTGTAGCTCCATCTGTATTTCGTTCATAGTTATTTAGTTTTAACCGTTGGTAGATTAACGAGTAATTCGTATTTTTAAGCATACGAAGTTAGTTTTCAACGCTTTTTAATTTCTTTATTTGTAGCCGAAAGGTATGGGTAATTTTGTTGGTCTATACGTACCTGTTTGTCCTTTGTGACCTAGCCTAGTTAGCTTCATCGATTTGAGTGATGTGTCGTTCATATTTTCATTTAATTCGTGGATTATCGGACAATGAGCCCTGCTGTTTTTTATTTACTAATGGATGCGATTTTACTTTCCATTTATTTTTTAAAACAATTGACAAATTACCTTACGTATGATGTTTTATGAATATTCTCAACAAAAGTACAACAAATAAATAAGAAGTTATTCCAATAATCCTTGTAAGATAGTTCGTCATCAAAACATCGAGATACGATCAGTTGTCGCAAGTTTTTACCATATCCGCCGACTGAGTCATCATGCCACCGACTGTGCAATTATTTATAACCAAACTGAGAAAACAGTAGGATTAGAAGCGAGTTTATGCAGATTTTTTAATACCACTGGTAACAAACATAAAAGGGTTGCTGAGTTCCCTCATATTCAGTGCAAAGTGGCACTTCCCAATTTTTTTAATAATTTGCTTTCGCCCGCGATTTCGTCTGCATGGAATTAAAAAAAAGTAAGTAGCCTATGTGTCCTTCCAGAGTATCCTGTACGTCTAACTCAAATTTCATCAAGATCCGTTCAGTAGTTTAGGCTACAAACTCTAACAAACATTCATCCTTGTAAACTTTCGCATTTATAATATTAGTAACCTAACAATTTATTATTTAAAAATATTTTACTCCCACATCCACGCTCTCTAGTGTTAAAATTTGGGCTAAAAAATCTCATATCTCCGTATTTGTACGGGTCGGATATACAAATGGCGGGCCATCGGAAGCGAAGAATCTTTATATCAAAATGACCTTATATCAACCCACAATATAATAGTTTTTCGTAATAAAGCAAATTGGTGTGGGCATATGCATTTGATATGTCATAGATTTAACAAATTTGGTGCACAATTAAATCAAAACTTTGCCTTGAAGTAAAGAGAAAAGTATTTAGTTATTTACTGAAAACTCATGTTTTTGTCATTTTCTCTTATAAGTTTAAAAATGCGGTTGTTTACAGAGGTATAACGTGGCCTTACATGAGCATATATGGTATAGTCTTTTTGGAACCTTCCGCAGTTCAACACGAGAATTATGAATATAAATTAGCTTTTGTTGAGGTGAATACTTTAAAAAACTTAATAAAGGTCAAATATCCGTAAATATTCATGTCAAAACATTGAACGAGGGTTATATCTTAGTGGCTGATTGTAGAATTTTCCCTATGGCATATCAAGGTGTAGTAATAATTAAGCAAATTCTCGCAATGAATGTAAAAAAAATATAAATGGAGGTGGAAGTACCAGAACTATCTTGGAATTTTGTAAAACGAGCGGCGGGAACACAAAGGTGGTCAACGAGGTCCATCTGCTTCTTCCTGCTTTCTTGCAATAGATGTACTCTTGTACATACATAAATGTAAAGAAATTAAAGCTATAGGGACAAATCAAAATAAAAAGAGTAGTAGTTAATATCTGCCTAAAAACAATTTTATTATTTGGATATATTAACCTTTTCCTAGCGTCTACAGACTATATAGGATAGGTTAACAGTGGTAGTGCCCGCTTTAACATCTTAGCGCTGCAGGGCCGGCACGCCCGGTGTAATACCACGACCACACAGAACACATGCGTGAAATAGAAGCAATTCCGTGTTTCGTCTGATGAGTGTGGTGCCGGAGGCCTAATTCAAATCCCTTTCTCTTTTCCACCCTTTTCTTATAAGAAGAGGTTGGGAAGGGGAAGTGGATTTGACGGTGGATGAGATGCATAGGAAGTGGAAATGTCCTCTTTATGTGCGTCTCCTCCTCCGTCGTATAATGGTAGGCACCGCATTTGCAATTGCGGATGTCTATGGGCAGCGGTCGCTTCGCCAATTTGGCGGTTTCAGGTGGCCGCTTTCTCGTTTGCCACCTTATGTTATAAAAAAAAAGGTTAGGTACAGAATATAAATAAAACTACCAATAATCTTTGGTAAGAGTTTATTCATCAATAAGACTAAAACTAGACAAAATTACACTTACAAAACTGACAATATACCAATGACATGAATATTAAAAGTACACTAATTGCAAATTTACTACAAGCATTTATATAACCACTTGAATACATCGTCAAAATATAGGTCGATTATAATGTTTATTTTTCATGTCAATGTAGATTCATTACATAAACGTTACTATACTTTCTATTGTCAATAGGTAAAGTAAAAATATAGAAAGCCCTACGTAGAAATATCACTGCATACCTTGGCTGACACCGACATCAAAGTTATAATAATTGTACAATAAAGACATAACAGTTACAATAAGGGATGTTTACTATTTTCAAGGAGTTATTTCGTTACTTTTTAGTGTATTGTTTTTTTGAGAATATTTTGTTTTTAGTGTATGTTTGGAAGTCGGTTTTGATTTTTTTTTTATTAAAATAATTTTAGATAAAAATATTTGAGATAGTCATATAGAAAATGTTTTTGTACAATACCAGATTTTAAAACTGGGCCTATGTGCTATTTCAGAACGTAATCTTTGTTCTAAATCTCAAACAGATCAGTTCAACTATTCTGTGTTGATGTAGTATAAGCATTTAGTATTTTTTTTATATAGATGTATTACTATCTTAAGTGCGTTTGTTAATGTGCGTCCTTTTGATACGGGGTGTTCTTTTAATGTATGCAGTTAAATTCGATATATTCAAGTGATTATTCATTAAAAGTTAAATAACTACGTTCTACACATACAAAGCGTCGAATGAGATTTTCAAATAACATAGTTTTAATTTAAATCTAATTATACGGTTGATTTAAAATGGCGTGGTACATTACTCTAAAAACTCTCCATTTTTTTAATATCATATTATTTTCACTTTTTTTTAAATATCAAAACATTAAAAACGTTTTTGCATTCCAACATAAAGCCACAGTACATTTTATTGAATTAGTCGCTTATGTTGACAATATATTTACTGTTTAGTTTTAGCCTATGCAATTTAAAAGTACCGACTACAAATTAAAGCAAATGGCAACTTGAGCAAAAACTGCGTTTCGTTAAGTATTTGACAATCTATACTATTATAAAAAAGCGTAAACACACACTTCTTTGTTACCTAAGAAGTTAGCAATTACAGCATATTTTTGATTTTTTTTTTAATGAAAAGCCCCACACTTGCGTCACGCTTAATGCTATATATTTTAACGCCATTAAACTTAGGGGGTTAATATTTTGAAAAAGCAGGTTCACAACTTTAGTCCTGCCACGGACTAACATCCTTTTGTATGGATTTAACCGTCTTTCCACTGACAGCATGAATAGTCACTAGTGGAAATGACCACTTACGCTTTTTAGAACTCAAATAAAAAAAAATATTTACACACCATTTTAAACCAATCGTAACTTTTATAAGTACTTTCCATCTCCCAAATCACTTTCCCATTCCAATATGAGTTAAATTCTAACATACTTCTGACCTACAACAGCTGCTACGGAATGTTTTATTAACCTATGTATGAAAAAGTATTGCTAGAACATAAAAAAATACGTTAAGTTGAACAATTATTGAAACTTTACATTTTAAACGTCTTATAAGGCAAGAATCGTGTTTCAGAATACACATAAGTTTAAAAAAAGGTTTTTGAAAAATCTTTCTCCTTAAAAGCAATTCAATGTAATTTTTTATAAAATTATGTGTATTCGTCAAAAATATCAATATAACTTATCGATAAAATAAATAAAATTATTTACGAATTAAAAACTATGAAATAATCTAGAATATTAAATAACCTATTTCAGAGATCACTAAAATTTAAAATTAGGCTTAACGCACACTTCATTTATATGTATGAAGAAATATAAAAAAAGTACACAAGTACATAGCAGTATATTTACCTAAGCATATGAATGACAAGGACGACCTTACAATGAAAAAAAAACAATACAAATTGTGGCCAGTTTTATTACTTCAAATTTTTAATAAAAAAAATGTCAAGAACTATATATGAAAATATAAATACATTAATCTTAAATTTAAAGAAAGACAAAAATAATTTTTTTAGTGTGTATTGTCATTAATAGGATTTTGTAAATAAACCACTACATCTTAAAAAGATACAAATAAACTAACAAACCGAAACTATCAAATTACTTAAATACAAAACACAACCATTGTACTAAATAGCTTAACAGTTCGGATTGTCTATGCCTCCAGTGTTGCCAGACATGTCCAAACAAATGCAATCCAGATAAAAAATTAATCCATCACACAAAAATAATTTACAAATATAACCTCTGAATAACAAATATATTTATAAAAATAAATCAATTAACAAAACATTAACCTAAAACAATATAATATCGCATAAGTGAAAACAATAAAATACGGGTATTGCCAGATTATAGAACCTATGGTCTGCAAAACAAGCTGTTCCTACGTACCCGTGATTTGTCGACTTGCCTTTAATTTAAATTATGAAAAGCGACACATATAATGCAATTATTTTTTAAATTTCAAAGCGTTTAACACTAACATACAAATATGTAATTAGAAAATGTGACGTCAATTGTCACTAAGATAGACACATAGTAAATATGACACATATTGGTAATAACGTGTATGGGACACTAAGGGGTTGACTAGGCTGCTTCACAGAAAGTGCCTTAACCTAAAAAACATTGAACGAGGAGTAAATATATTTGTGCCGCCTTTCCACAATCAATATTACTACAATGGTATAAAAGCAAATTCGTTTCAGTCCAAGTGTTTTTTATTATTTTTTTAAATTTCGTCTAGTTTAAAAAATAAAAAAAAAATACTGAAACGAATTTGATTTATACCCCTCTAATTACATAAACATGTAAGTTTGAATTGCCGATACAAATATTATCTCAGTTTTGTCAAGAGTGAAAGGGAAGATAATAATTTGCAGTTCGGCAATAGAAAACTACATGGTGTTCAAACTTCTAAACAAAAAAATCCAATTAAAGTGATTAACAAAAATTATTTAAAAAAAATATTTTGAAATCAATTTAAAACTTGAAAGTAATTTTTTTTGTATTTTTTTCAATTATAATTACATTACTGTATTCATTTTTAAAAACTGTTGAAAAATTGAAAACAGTTCTATCACAAAAAGAAAAGTCATTCAATGTATGGAGTGATACCAAAAATTAAATTATGTACCGAAATCATTCACCGTATATCTGTTTAGAAGTTTGGAATATTTTACGAGTTACCAATAACATCGACATTTTCGTGTTTATCAATATTCCCAAAGTTTGTCGAACCGCCGAAGTATGTGTGTTGCCATTAGAGAAAAATATTGTTAAATGCAAAGGAGTTGTAATAGTTAATAGGAGTTTAATTTGAAAAAATAATTACAAGACTGAAGATTTACCTATTTCAGTTGCGATTTAAAAAATTGAAAGTATTAGCTAAGTTTTTTTTTGTATTTTTTTATTTTTTATTATAACGAACTCTTTAAATTGTAGCGTTCGAAAATGATATTATTAGTGTAAATAGGATAATTTGGGACAAGAAAGTACTTATAAATTATTGTGCATAATTCGCCTAATACATTTCAGATAACCTATTTTTACATTTTTTTGTAAAAAAATAAACATGTAAACTATTTTATTTTTCCCTGTTTTTGCAGTTTGTACAATTTTTTATTCAAATTATAATGAGATGTGTCACAACCGAGTGCAGCGTACAAATTATTTGCATGTTTTATTTTTAAAAAATACTGTAAGCCAATAAATATTCGTTGGACAAAAGTAGAAATTCCCGGAACTGTAACAATTGATATGATGGATTGGAAGAAATATACGAAGATTAAATTATTTACATTCGAGAAGTGACCTAGGGTAAACCGTCAGTCTTGTAATAACCGAATTACACTGACTAAAGTCAGTTAATCGCTTGAAATAGAACCCTGTATCCATTTGTAATGGCACATTTTTAAATTGGGAACCGCGTCCGTTAATGCGGTATGGCAACAAAGACCCACATACTCCGACTGACGCTGTCAACTTTTGAACAAAAACGTTCTTTACGTCTTTGAAAACACGGTGCAATTTCCTCTGACATATGTTTTCGTTTCGAAATGAAAGACCATTTTTACAGAACCAAAGAGAAAAGTTCGCGGTAGAGAGAATGTTAAGTTTTGGTAAATTGATCGTTATTTTGATATCGCGAGAGTTCAGTTTGAGTAGCGGGGATGTCGGGGGTGTCGGGGGTGTCGGG